ATTATTCACTAAAAGTGCAAGGGAGAAGAAATAAACAAAATTTTATGTTAAATATCGAATTTTTTGCAAACTGGACAAGAACGAAGTATTTCGAGGTTCGCTCCACGAGGGAAAGGACTAGAATTTTTCCAAAGGTGATATTTGGGATCACCTCTTCAAGGGCTATCGACTGATGTATGCTTCATACAGATATATCATCTGCTGAAACTTTGAATTACCCGCGCCTTATCTGGGAATAAAATATGGTGTGGTCTTAATGTTTCCTTTAATAATAGTTGTGAGAATATGGTTATTATAGTTTAAGATGGGTTGAGTTTATTTTATTAGGCATTTATTGCCTAGTGGTGTTAGTGGTGTTTTAATTGTTTTTATTCCTTTAATTGAACTTTTGGGAATTATGATTTGTCCTTTAACTTTAGCTATTCGTTTAGCTACTAATATAAGTTGTGGGCATGTAGTTCTTTTAATATTTGGTTATTCTTCTTTAAATTTGAAATTTTACATGTGGTTTATAGTTTCTATTTTTATTTTAATTGGTTTATTTCTTATTGAGTTATTAGTTTGTTTAATTCAAGCTTATGTATTTTGAAGTTTATTATGTGTTTATAGTATAGAAATTGAAGGTGTTTAGATAGTTAAATATAATATTAGTTTTGTAAATTTAAGTTTTCTAAATAAGCTCTTGAGTGATTTATCTACATTAAATAGCATTATTAGTTCATTATGCCAGAAACTGGATTACATTGATGTTGTAATAATTTTTATGTTTAGTATGGCAGAGTCTAATGTGCTAAATTTAAGTTTTAGATATTTTACTGTTAGTTAAGTTTAAAGAATTGAAGCTTTGGATGCTTTAGATTTATTTTCAATTCGTTCTGTAATTCAAATTTTAATTATAATTGTTTTTATGTGTTCAAGTGTTTATTTTTTAACTTTTCTTGAACGAAAAATATTAAGTTATGCTCAAAATCGAAAAGGTCTCAATAAACTTGGGTTTTTAGGGTTAATTCAACGTTTATTAGATGGTGGTAAGTTAATTTTTAAAGATTGAAAAGTTTATTTTATTTCTTATTTTGTTTTTATTTTAATGTCTATTATTGTTATTGTTTTTATAAGGTTAATATTAACTTTTATATTTATAGCTTATTTTACGAACGTTCATAATAATAGAATTTTATTTATGCTTGTTATTAGTTCTCTTATAGTTTATGTGATTTTTTCTATGAGTTGAGGTGAGAGTGTTTTAGGGCGATTGCGTAGTTCTTCTCAATTAATTGCTTATGAAATTTGTTATACTTTTAATTATTTTATTGGTTGTTATTTATAATAGTTCTTGGTCTTTTGTTAAGATTGGTTTTAATAGAATTTATTTATTAGATGTTTTTATTGTTTGGTTAATGATTATTTTAGTTGAGACTAATTGTAGTCCTTTTGATTTTGCTGAAGGGTAGAGCGAATTACTTTCAGGTTTTAATATTGAATATGGGGCGGTAATATTTGCTTTTATTTTTATTTCTGAGTATGGTATGATTATTGTTTTTCCTTGACTGACAAGAGTGTTTTTTTTTTATGATATTTTTTTAATGTTTGTAATATTATATGTAGTTTTAGTACGTGGTTTTATTCCGCGTAGCCGTTATGATATTTTAATAAATATTTGTTGAAAATTTTTATTTATGTTGTTAAGTATTTTGCGAATACGAAAACTCGTGTATCAATGAGTTTTTATAATCACTTCAGGAATCGATCTTAGACTCTTGTTGGTTATGCCACTTTAATGCATCACCACAGAAAAATAGCGGTATCCACTTTCAACGTTGGTCGTCCATTGCTTCACATGCACGGAATTTGTGATTGAAAATGAATAGCCAATCATTTAAATTTTCATTGTATGGGCCACTAAATTTTATTACGTCTCTCAGCATCGACCGGAATAACAGTGTCTTCACATATCCCAGTCCGGGTAAATCTTTTAGTATTGTGTTAATCGATACTAAATTAACGTGCTCCATTTCATACTTATAATGCCACAATAAAATGGAAACACGCCAGCTAGTGCACCATTTGCTAGCCTATCACTGAATTTTATTCGAAGAATAAAATCACAAAAACATTAAAACAGAAGAACTAACTCCAGTGTGTACAAACAAACACTATATCCAAATGAGGAAAGAATGTTGACTCAACGAGAACTGAGTCAACATTCTTTGTGGTCATGAGACAATAACAGGCACATTAATTATTAGCCTTATTGGCCTCTTACGTTGACGTTTCATGTGAGACATCAATCAGGGCAGAATTGGAACAGAATTGGAAATCTAAAAACAGAAAACGAGAAGTTTGGTGATAAGTGCAGTAAGACGAAAAGAACGGAATCTAAAGAACAGAATCCTCTCCTTTTCTTTCCTCACTGCTCCTATGCCCCATCTACCTTACCAGAGTTCCAGTGATCAGCAGCATCGAAAACAAAGAGTCTGATGAGCTCGAGCCGATATTGCCATGACCTTTGCAATGCCACAGACAAATCTCTTTAGCTTTTTCCATATAACCGTCCCTTCGATCGAAAGAATAATCTAGAAAGACAACTTTTTCAAGTTCCCTGCATTGAATAGTCGAGAGTCTGTACGACAATTATTAGTTCATTTGTCTGTCCATCGTGACAGGTTTTCAAAACTACAGTTTTTTTCCTTTTAATCTAGTTGTACTCAAATAGAAGTAAGATTCATCGTCTTTTATCAATTTTATTAAACGCTTTCTTAATGTATTCGAAAGAGCAGGTCATAGTTTCTCTATTTAAGCCATCTTCAGTCAGATTTTTTGCAGTAAAAGTTTAATCCATCATATCATTTGAATCGACACCACTGTCCAACTCTTTTCACATCGAATCATGTGCCAGTTCAGCTGCTACTACAACCAGATCAGCTAAAACCGGATGAATCCCACTCACCCACACAATGACACATTGCCACAGGTCAGAAACTAACCACCTATCTATCATCAAGTTGTCAACTACTGTAATCTTCATGTAGAACGCTGAGATAACACGCAAATACAAAGCACTTTATCTGCACTTGTGGGGAACTACTCATAGTTGTATTTATCCTGCCACTGGTACCACGATTTCCATGACTCAAAGTAAAAATCCAAGAAGAAAGTAAAAAAAACAAGAAGTGAGTGGTTCAATCAGAGCAGAATTGGAAATCTAAAACCAGAAAATGAGAAGTTTGGTGGTAAGTGCAGTAAGACGAAAAGAACAGAATCTAAAGAACAGAATCCTCTCCTTTTCTTTCCTCACTGCTCCTATGCACCATCTACCTTACCAGAGTTCCAATGATCAGCAGAAAACCATAGAATGTCAGAGAAGAATACTAACGGTACCTATTAAATATTCACAAGATCCGTACGGCCAGTAGCAGAAATATTTCTGCTTTTCCTCTACAAACGTTATGATTGGTTGCAACATTACTGGAAGGTTGCTGCTCTTTCTCTTCGTTAGACGTTATAATTCTAAACAGAACTGTAAAGTACAAGGTAACGGCCGTCTGCACTCGCTCGGTCCCTTGACTTTAGAAACTTATATCTGCGAACGAGCCTCCATCACTTCTGAATCCACGACAACGCTCACGCCTCCCTTCGGTCGTCGTTCGTTAGGGCACTATCTAAAATATGTTCTAAATTTATCTTTGATTTGTTGTATAAGGTTCGTAATCTCATGAAAATGTAAAAGGTTCTCTCGAGATCACGCTAAGATCTCCAGAGGTCTAAAAATATTTCTGGATTCAAAACAATGCTCTCGCCTCCCTTCGGTCGGCGTTCGCAGCCAGTATAGCTGAGAAACGCTGTGAACTTCTCTGATTCCACGGAAAAAACGTCTAATGTAATATGAAGCCAAAAGGTTTTCTGGACACCCTCTGCAGATCCCAAGGAGGTTGGAACTATATCTAACCGAATTGCTATGATAGATTATCTATACACTGTAAGTTTTATTATCCGTACACGAGTTTTTTCGTTTTTATCACCGTTGTCTCACGACATCTATCTTCGGCCTACAGAAAACGTTTGCTTAGGTTTTTTCTCTCTACATGAGTAGAGCTGTCACATTATCTCTTTGAATATTTTGTCTCGTGTGTTTAAAAAGAAATTTTTTATGAGTCTCGCTTATGATTGGCTTATCCATAGAATATCTCAGCCATTTTTTCGTATTTTGTGCACACACACACACACACAAACACACAGACAACCATTTTATAAGACCCTAGACTAAAGTCAAGGGAACTTTTTCTTTTTGTCTTACTGCACTTACTACCAAATTTTTCATTTTCTGTTTTTAGATTTCCAATTCTGTTTTCCTATATTTAATTCTTATTAAGATATACTTGATAATTCGCCAGTTTATTTTGTGTATTATAAAATATTACGTAACCAAGTCAATGTTATCGTTCCTTACCTTTGTTTTTGATTGAGAGTCATATTTATCATGGCACAAATTAGTCTTTGTAAATAATTTGGTAGAACGTAATGAACAGTCGATGTCAAAAGCCTCGAGATGGAAACAGATTGAAATGATCTATTTATCTAACTATTTATCTATAGGCCTTCAGTATGGTACTTTAAGGTACTTTAACAAGAGAAAGTACCTAAATGTCCTCTGTTTCAGATTCGTATCGAAAACGAGTGGCCGATACGTTTCTTATCTCGCTCACCTTTATTAAGAGTATACAGAAGTTTGACATCAAAGAAATAAATGTATAACCTTTGTATCATTTCAAAAGACTATTACTAACATAAAAATGCTTTCCGTGCTGTCACGTTCATTTTCGCGTTCTTCAAAGAATTCATTGGGAAACCGCAGTGTTCTTATTGTGGGTGCCGGTGTTGCCGGTCCTGTATTAGCATATTTTCTTCATCGTTATGGTGTGCACCCTGTGGTAGTTGAGCGTACGCCACAACTGCGCACAACTGGTCAAACTGTCGACGTACGTGGCGCAGGGAGAGAGGTTGTACGACGCATGGGCGTTAACAGCGTGATTCGTGAAAAGATCACCAGGGAGGATGGACTGGCCCTTGTCGATAGCGCAGGACGCACGCAAGCCGCTTTCGGTGTGAAGGACTTTGGTGGTCAAGGCTTCATCGCCGATATTGAAATACTTCGTGGCGAACTAGTGAATATACTTTACGAGCAGAGCCGTAATCATACCCAGTATATCTTTGGCGATCACCCTTCATCGATCAATGATCAAGGTGATCATGTGCAAGTTACGTTTGCTAGTGGTAATATTCGCGACTTTGACTTGGTCATTGGTGCTGATGGCATACGATCAAAAACTCGACGCCTTCTCTTCAGTGACAAGTCGCCTATCCATTATCTAAATATGTACACTGCATATTTTACTATTCCCTACAGTCAGTCAGATGGCACCTGGGCACGTTGGTACAATGCGCCGAAAGGACGGACAGTGCTGATCCGCCCGGATAATCAGGGCACCACGCGTGCCTTCTTGACATTTCGCAGCTCACAGCGTGGCTACGAAGAGCTTGATCCAGACATGCAAAAAGAGCTTCTACAAAAGGTATTCGCAGACGCAGGTTTCGAAACGCCCCGGGTGCTGAATGGACTGATGAATTCAAATGATTTCTATTTTGAAGCGATTGGACAGGTCAAGATGGATCAGTGGTCACGTGGACGAGTTACCTTGGTGGGTGACGCGGGTTATTGCGCCTCACCAGTCAGTGGTATGGGTACAACTCTGGCTTTTGTTGGCGCTTATATCCTTGCTGGTGAGATTGGCCGCCACCACGATCATACGGAAGCCTTCAGGCAATACGAAGCACTAATGCGTCCATACGTTACCAAAGCGCAGAAACTAATTCCAGGGTCTATCCACGTTGCTTCACCACAAACCAGTACTGGAATTGCGTTCAGAAATGCTCTGTTGAGCTTTGTAGCCCGACCTGCCGTTACCCGACTTCTCACAAAACTGACAGAATCAAAGACTGCTGAGAAAGTGACGCTGCCAGATTATGAGATTGTATTGGCTCAATAGTAGAGTGCTCCATGGATTATACTTTTTATTATTTTAAAGAACCTAAAGTTTTGATTATTTCTTAATAACACTGTATAAGTTAGTTGCATTACCATCAAATTTGTATTATTTTTCGGTATTATCCATTTCAAAATAAAAGAAGAATAATTGTTTTTCGAAATTCTCTTTCACGGAAATAAGCAGCTATGAAGCTGCAGTTTTCATCATTAGAAAGGAGTGAGGATTCTACATCTTTCTATATACAGAGTGATCGGTAAGTGTTGGACTCTCTCATAACTCACAGAAAAAAAGACTTGAACTTTGGTAAGTACTCTCTTGTAACAGGCCAACTATTATCCTAAATTTTCAGCTCTCTCCTACGAATAAGAGAAACTTAGAGATCAACATCTTCGATAACTCTATTTTTTAACCATATTCTAAAAACAAAAAGGGATATTTTTACAAAGACCTGATTAATACTCTGACGTCGCCATATCCACATAGTTCTTGTAGTAGATAGTTATTTTAGCAGCATTATTTATGCATTCTTGTTTGTTTCCATACTGATCTTGGTGATTTTTTTGTTTTTAAAATATGGAGAAAAATTATTTAAAATGTTAGCCTATATATGTTCCTTATTTCCATAGGTAGATGTTTCAAGGAAGTACATACCAAAATTCGAGCTTTTGTTCTATTGCTTTTCGAGGAAAAAGAGTGATTTGTTCGAGATGTGAAAGACTTATGGAGTAGCTCTCGAGTATTTATTCAATAACAAATGAGAGTACTGAAGAGCGTCCCACGGTCTATTTAAAAAATAGTGCATATTATGGATGTCTTGTCAATATTGACAAACGAAAGAAAATAGAACACTTATTTTATGATCAGACAGCATCAACATAAACAACCATCTTTATCTGTCGAGTATATATAATTAAAACCACCTATCTCTAAGCAAAAGAAGCTGGTCAGTTTTGATACAAATTTGCACTTGCATTTTAATACGTAATTCTACAAAAAAAAGCATATTAAGCTATGCTCTACGAACCAGAAACAGAATAACGTATTTAAGGGGGAGTGTCTCCCCCTAAGGTATCGATTTTTATATCCAAATTGTAGAGCAAACGAAACTCCATATACCCTGAAACTTTTTCGGCGGTCCCGTGTGTTTTGGCAGAGAAAGAGCTGTTACAAGTTAGTCGGCTGCAGAAGGTATCCATCGGTCTGTATTTTCAAAAAATTCAGTAAGTGATGATGTATGGCTAATTTTTACGTAGTTCGATAGATCATCGAAAGTTGTATATTGTCTCAAATTTTCACGATGATTGGACGAGTACTTCCAGAGAAACAGAAGTTTTCCCGATTTAGGGTGCTTTTAGTCCTAAAAAGTATGTGCTTAAAACCTTGCCTGAGATTTCGGATATATAATATACTGCAATAAAACAGTGCTAGTATAGAAAGATGTGCCGTCAAATTCTGCGCAATGTAAGCGGAACAGAATTTTTTTTCAAAAAAAATCTAAAAAAAAGCGGGTTTTTTTACGTGCTTTGCAAACAAAAACAGAAAAAACGATTTCTTCGCACTTGAGGTAGATTTTCCGCTTTTTTTGCCTACAAGGTAATAGTTTTATTTTATCTTGCATAACATTTGATAGAGACTTGTATAAGCTACAAAACTTTAACTTAAAAACGATTTATTTTTAAAATGGAAATATACTTAGGGTTCAACCTTTGCGGGTTCAGTCGAAGGAGAGTGCCGAAAAAAGAGGTCGATTGCAGTTGTTCCAGTGCTAAACTTTAAAGAAATGAGATAATAGGAATCAGGCGAAGCCACTTGCGTGCTGATATTTTTCAGCGAGGTTTAAGTTCTCAAGTTCAATATTAGATAAACTCTTTGTCAACTGTTCCACATTATATATGTTCGATGCAATTTGAGCAGTCAGTAGGTTACATACTTGCACAAGGTTATAAATTAAAACCGCCGGCATCATAATCTTGCGTGTCCATTTGTGGCTTCATTGAACGTTTTCGATCAAAAGCTTTTCGTTGAATTTGTTCTTGCCGCTGATTATGTTATTTATATTTTGAGATGTTGATAGACGTTGAATATCTTTTGATAAAAATTGTTCGAATAATGCTTTATTAACATCAACCCCACACTGTTTGAAGAAATTGATTAAAGAACTTCGACCTTGATTGAAAAATATTGCTGCAAGAGCAGCACTGCCACGTACAGAACGGAAACTGTGGTGCTTTGACTTACTGAGAATCGCCCTGTAATGATAAGAACATAGAATAATTTTGTAATCAACGAGCCAAAGAATCAAGTAGTAACGAAGAAATAATTCCCACACAACAGAGTTTAATGATTCGTTTGAATTTTGTGTCGCTGCGCGTAAACAACGATATAATAAATCAGTCGACGTAAGCATGTCGATTATTGGCTGTAAAATAGTACGGTAAATCGGATCAAGGTGCTTGTGGTTTCTTTTTCATCTCTTTAGGCTTATTATTGTCGAGCTCGAAAAAATTAAATCTTCACAGAGAAAAATGCGATACACCGAGACGAGGTCGAAAAAGCCAAAAATCCTTCTTTTTCAGAAAATGTTCTAAAATTTTTTCGCGAAGCAAACTAGACCTTTCAAACAAATATAGATGGAATCCCCGTTGAAAATTGCACCTAGTAGAGATATTCCAAAGTCCTAAATATGTAAACTAAAATTTTGGCAGAGCTCAAAATTGATTAGACTCAGCGGTCGATACCTTGAACTTGCAAACCTATCTAGTTTTTTGGGTTAAGGAGTAGGTCCTCCCGTTGGATAGCCCAAGTGATAAGCTTTAAAAGTATGTAGAGATTTTTTTGAAAACTTCCTACCGAAAAAAACACCTTGTGTCGAAACGGAATGACAAACGGCAAGGTCATTTTTAGCTAACTTATTGATTATCGACTCAAACATGACAAAGTTACATCGCCATAGGTTCTTAGACCCCAGGAATTCGACAGATGTGCTTGCGGAAACGATGGAGGACTTCCACAGGGGTTTCGAGAGGTTTTGAAAGTATGCCAACTAAATATCTAGCTTTTCTTTGGTAGAACCGTCATTTTTAGATTTTTGTTAATATTTCTCATGCCTCTTCCGGCGAAACGTGCTGCACATTGTCGAAACTTGCTTACAAAGCGATATGCAAGCGATAACAGAAATAAAAGCGGAATTGGCCTTTCTGACGATGATTCATATATGGAAGGGGAATCTGAGCCTGAAAAAGAGCCATCAAATATCACTGAAAAAATCAGTCTAGATGATCTAGCAGCTTTATTTGATCTATACAAATCAAGTCCCTCAACGAAGTATCTCAGTGTGTTAATATATATGACTCTTCGACACGTTGCAATGACTTGGAATGCATGTGATATTATTTTAAGAAAATTGGATGGATTTAATTGTAAAACCTCGCACAAATGGGCTGATCTATTTATCTATTTTTGCTGTGCCCGTTGACTTGTAATACATATCGTCTATAAAATTGGTTAAGTGTACTGCAGTAAAGTCAGCTGATTTCTGAGAGCAACGATCAAGCGTAAATTGTTTAGCTGATAACTCAATATCCTCAAAATAATCCCAAAAATCAATCGTGCGTTTACTACCGCGTTTTTCGTTTGAAAACTCTTCGAAAGCATCAGAAATGAACAGATCAGCCCATTTGTGCGAGGCAAGTTTCGACAATGTGCAGCACGTTTCGCCGGAAGAGGCATGAGAAATATTAACAAAAATCTAAAAATGACGGTTCTACCAAAGAA